TCCTGTTACTCCTTCCAAAGTGAATCACCTCACACTTTTCCGCATTAAACTCCATTTGCCACCTCTCAGCCCAGCTCTGCAGCTTATCTATGTAACCTGCAACATCCTTCCTGCAACATCTCCCCTATACCTTCCTCCAATCACCTTAAAATTATGCCCCCTCGTAATAGTCATTTCCGCCCTGGGAAAAAGTCCCTGACTATCCGCTCTATCTATGCTTCTCATCATCTTGTACACCTCTATCAAGTCACCTCTCGTCCTTCTTCGCTCCAATGAAAAAGGCCCTAGCTCCCTCAACCTTTCCTCATAAAACCTGCCCTCCAGTCCAGGCAGCATCCTGGTAAATCTCCTCTGCACTCTCTATAAAGCTTCCACATCCTTCCTATAATGAGGTGACCAAGTGTGGTCTGACCGGTGTGTGGTCCCCTCACATTACCTAGCAGATCTGTTGTCACTTAGTTTCAGCCAGGTTCTGTCTGTAACCTACCCAGGACATTGTCTGTCTCCAGCATTGCAGTTCTCTCCGTAATTGATGCTACCTACTGATGCTGCTCTCTTCCCTGACCACCTCATACCCAGGAACCTTTAACAGCCAATACTGTCCTCCTTTCAGCCAGGACTCTCGTACTGTCCAGTCCTTGTGCTGTCCCACACTCATTAGCACCTACCGCTCGGCAGGCTTGTGTCTGTCTGTGTGCGCACACACTGGAACGCTTGTACTCCCCCCTTCTCTGACCCTGCCCCTCACACCTTGCTATTTCTCATAGAACCGTACAGCTCAGGATCAGGCCCTTTGGCCCATAATGTTGTGCCAAACATGATGCCAAATTGAACTAGTCCCCTCTGCCTGCCTGTGATCCATATCCCTCCATTCCTTGCGTATTTGTGTGCTTATCTAAAATCCCCTTGAACACCCCTATCGTATGTGCCCCCACCATCACCACCCCCTGGCAGTGTGTTCTAGACTCCTACCACTCTCTGCGTTTTTAAAAAAAAAAAACTTGCCCCTCATCTCCTCAGGCTGAATTTTTCTCGCTGCTCATCGTGCTCTGAGAGCTTCCTCTCTAACCTTACCTCCTGGCTCCCACATCCCAGCTATTTTCCGGCTGGGAATGGGGCTCGCTTGGGTGGCTGCGTGTGTTTGGATGCTCGGAACTGTGCGGAGTTTGGGCGTCGAGATGCTGCCTGGGTCACGGGACCTGGAATGACCCTGCGTAGAGTGTGGATGTAGCTGGATCCAGGCCAGTGTTGCTGCTGTGTGTGTGACCTCTCTCTGACTGCACCCTTCGTCCTTCCCCAGTGGCTAGAGATGAGACCGAATCGGAAAGAATGTCCCGTCTGCAAAGCTGGTATCAGTCAGGAGAAGGTTATCCCCCTGTATGGGCGAGGCAGCAGCAGTGAGCAAGATCCCAGGTACGTTTCCCCGCGCCCCCAACCTCACCAACGGCCCAACCCTGGGGGGGAGTGGTTTATTAAGTGCGGGCGGGGTGGGGAGGGTGCGAGAGTGTTGGGAGAGTGACGGGGGTGGTGGGTGAGACTCTGAGGGCGGTGGGGATGGGTTGGGGTGGGAGGGGGAGGGGGCAGTGGATTACAGGGAACACAGAGTACGGGGGAGTGGTCGGTGCTGTTTTCCGTGGAGCAGAGAGGAGCTGATCTAACGAGTCTGGGAACGGCTTTAATGGAACAGGTCGGGGAAACTGTTTGCAGGACGGCCCTTACACAGAGAGGGCGGGGATCCAAGGCACTTGGTTAAAGAAACCTGAGAGAGGAGATTATTTTTAACGAGGTAGCAAGTCATTGTGGTCAGGGACATGCTGCCTTGAAAGGGCAGTGGGAGTAGATTCAACAGGAACTTTCAGAAGGGGGCTTCAGGAAGACAGAAGAGTGTGGGATCGTTTACACGTGGCACGGTGGCTCAATCCCACCCTCGGGCGACTGTCTGTGTGGAGTTTGCACATTCTCCCCATGTCTGCGTGGGTTTCCTCCGGGTACTCTGGTTTCCTCCCACAGTCCAAAGATGTGCAGGTTAGGGTGGATTGGCTGTGGAAATGTGGGGTTGCAGGGTTAGGAGATGAGATGCTGTTCAGAGGAGAATGTGGGCACTGACATGTGGCTTAGGTTAGACTGATATGTGTTCAGGCAGTGGGAGGGGTGTGTGTATGTGTGTTCCCCATCACACTCACGGTCTTTCTGTTGTCACGCCCTGACTGCCTCCTCCCCCCCACCCCACCTTGTGCCCTCCCTTCACCCCCTCGCACCCTCCCTTTCGCCTTGTTGAGAGGCTGATGGTTTACTGCTGGATGAACTGCACCATTTCAGATCAGGAAAGTTCCCTGTTCTAAAAGTACCGTCTCTTCACTTTCACAGACTGAAGACTCCACCCAGACCACAAGGTCAGAGAACCGAAGCTGAGAATAGAGGGGTAACTCATCATGTTTCTCATTACTGCCGCTCGCACTGGCCGTTCATACAAAAAACACGGGCCTTGTGCTAACCTCTGGTCGGTGTCACTGTCTACCAGGCAGCCCATCTGAGCCACTCCTCATCCTGACTTGGAAATATATCGGCTGTACCTCCAGTGTCGCTGGGTCTAAATCCTGGAATTCCCTCCCTAAGGGATATTGTGGGTCAACCCACAGCACGTGGACTGCAGGCGTTTGAAAAGGCAGCTCACCCCCACCTTCTCAAGGGGGGCAATTAGGGACGGGGCAATAAACGCTGGGCCCGGCCACAGCCTGTGGGTTAATAGATGTGGTGGAAATTGCAGGCAGTTGCCAGATGGAGGTGATAATAGAGAGGTGTGAGGTGGTGTAGAGATACATGGTCCAGTCAGTGTGACTGGCTATGAAGGAGATTTGGGCGAGTTCAGGAGCGGATTGGATTGAGTAATGCTATTCCCAGTTCCCGATGGATTTGGGATGGGGAAGGATGGGGGGGCATGGTCCAAGGGGAGAGGGACAGGGGAAGAACGTGGCGACATGGTGAGGGGTAATGACCCTGGGCTCCCTGCCCAAAAGCATGGGGAGAAGGGCAGACAGTGAGGACAGGGAGAGAGATGGAGAAGAGGAATGGGACTGACTGGGCTGTACAGACTTCTAGTTGAGGGGCAGAATGGTCTATTGCAGGGTAAACGACTGATGGTCTGGTTGGACAGTATGTCCATTTACCCCTTACCTCCCCCACAGGGGTCTGTGCAATGTCTACAATTACCCCCCCCTCACACAGGGGTCTCTGCTGGCTCCCTAGATACCCCTTCTCCTCTGCCATCCCCCACCATGTGTCCTGTGTAATCCTCTCCCTTCCTCCCCTCCCCCCACCTCCCATCACACTCAGGGGCAGTGACATTGGGTTTTATCCCTGCGACGGCTACCCAGTCCTCACAGTGAACTGAGTGTGATGTCTTTTCCCTGCCCCCCCCCCCCCCCCCCCCCCCCCCCCCCCCAGATCCCACATTACCCCACTCCAACCCATTCCTCACCTTCCGTTCGGCCTCTCCCTCTCGGTCCTGACAGAGAGAACAGAATATGATCTCTCTTTATCTCCCCCAGAGTTTCCACGGATTTGGAGACACTGGATTCCACATGTCCTTTGGAATCGGAGCATTTCCTTTTGGGTTCTTCACAACAGTCTTCAATTCCGGTGAGAACAGACAGAGAGCAGGTGAGACAGTGGGTTTCTAACCTTGTGAGAGGCTGGGAGGGGACAGGGAACCTCAATACTACGGCTTAAACACCTCGGGGACAGCGCACTGACAGCAAAACACTATTTAAACACCTCGGGGACAGTGTGACAGTAACACGCTGTGTTTAAACACCTCGGGGACAGCGCAACAGTAACACACTGTTTAAACACCTCGGGGACAGTGTGATAGTAACACTGTTTAAACACCTCTGGGACAGTGTGACAGTAACACACAGTGTTTAAGCACCTTGGGGACAGTGTGACAGTAACACAGTGTTTAAGCACCTTGGGGACAGTGTGACAGTCACACTGTATTTAAACACCTCGGGGACAGTGTGACAGTAACACACACTGTTTAAAC